TGTGTATAAGAGACAGAGGTGGATGTGGTGAAGAGGAGCAGGAGGGAGAGGAGGAGGAGGAGGGGGAAGTGGGGGAGGGGGAGGGGGAGGGGGGAAGGGCGGAGGGGGGAAGAGGGTGTAGGACCACTCCCCTGCCACAAGAACTTGTTGCTTCGTGACATGCATGAATGCCAAACCCCTTGCTGACAATCAGATGTCATTTTTGGAGGCTGTGTACATCGGGGAACCATAAAAACCACAAAAGATGGTCGGACCGTCCACCCCCCGCAATACTAAACTGGATAGTTGGCGCGAGGGGAGGGGTGCAGGGGGGGGGGGTTGGGGGGCGCATATGCCTCCTTTGCCACCACGTAGACATCTTTCTTCTGTCATCTCCCCTTGCCGACATTCACAAGTGACCGACAAAAAACCGAACAAAACCACCAACTAGCTGATAGACGCAGATGAATGGAGTAACGGAACATTCGAGTGGAGGGCCAGAGGTGCAGGGGGGGCAGCCTGTGGGCTCCTCCTCCTTGTCGGTACCCATTCCCTTCACGGTAGGCAGTCTTGGGCCCACGGGCCATGGTCCTTCTGCCTTCCCTCACGTGCAGATACGCCAGATAGTCTCCAATTCCTTCCTTCCTTGGGCCATTGATTGGAACCGAGCACCGTTCGCTCTGTCGACTATCTATCGTCCTCACCTATGCGCTACGCCCTTTGCCCTTTGCCCTTTTGCCCTTTGCCCTCGCGGTATGACAATATACAGAAGGGGAGCTTATAGGTTCCTATTAGGTTCATGCTACTTGCTATTGGGTTAGTATTAGCAGCATTAACAAAAAAGAAAAAGCACTTCTGAGAAAGTTGCTCCCATGAATAGACTGGAGCATGGTCCCATTAAAAAAAAAGAGTAAAAAAAGGGTGATCATCCACTTGACTGGTGGTGCTTTGTTTGTGCTAAGCTAGTGTGTGAGTCCTCATCTGTCATTTCCACCGAGACAGACGGTTCCCAGTCGATTACTGACCATTGGGGCAAGGGCCCCAAATAGGGGGTTGAGGTTGACCTTTGGGAGAGGGGTTAGAGAGGCGGGCCCATATTCCCTTGCTGGTCGTCGTCGCCCTCTGGTGATGGGGGCCAGGGTGTGGAGGGAACAGTAGGTAGCTCAGGAGTAGTAAGATGGGTAGGTAGGTGGGTAGAGCGAGGACATACACTTTGGGTATATCTTACCCTTTGCTGTTGTTACGCGCTAGGACCGGCGCTCGGCGTTGTTCGTGAAACTAGCTTCCAGAAGTGCTAGAAGAGACCCTCCAGTAGGATGGAGAACTGGACACGATTATCGTTCCTTGCTCCTACGCCGCTAGAGCTCCTTGATCACAGCAGCCACAGTGACAAGCATGGCAAGTGGGAAATTACCCAGAAGGGGGAATTAGTAAATATTACAAGAGAGGAGTGGCAGTGGTAGGGAGTGCGTGCGGGGTGCGATCGATTTTCTCCTTTTCTCTCCGTTGTCCTGCCCTGTGCTTTCTGTGGACGAGTGCAGTGTACAGAGATTTACTTCCTCTTCTTCTTCTTCTTCTTCTTCTTCTTCTTCTTCTTCTTCTTCTTCTCCTTCTTCTTCTTCTCCGCCTGAAGTCCTAAGATTCACTTCTTTCCTTCGCTTCTTTCCTCCTACCCTCCTTGAGCCCCTCTTCATTTTTCGTTGATGTCAACCCAAACTCATGAGAGTAATGTCAATGTGTTTGCTGTCTGTCCTGTTTTATCTGTTTTTTTTGCCTTTCTTAACAACATTCCTTTCTGTGGATAAGACTGTGAGGCAAAGACCTTAGCCAGTGAGCGAAGCTTCTTCTCCTCTTTTTTTTTTTTTTTTTTTTGGGATAATTTGCAAAATAGTAAAATACCCCTATAAGTTGCGATATATGCCAAATTGCCCCTTAAAGGTGTGGGTAGAGCAGAATACCCTTTTGGGCATAATTCTTTGCGTTTTGCACCTGTCAGGCCCATGTGCAAATTTGCAATCTGGACCGTGTCTTTGGGGCCTGGGCCTGCACCTGTTTTACCCGGTTTGCCCTCCATACCGGGTGGCCAACTTTGCGCAATACCCAGGCCCTGTCGGCCCGTCGGCCCGTCGGTTTGCCTCCATGTTAGGCAGCTTCATTCATCCTCCTCCCTGGTGAGGTTCCCCATTTCCAGCTCCTCCTACGCCATGTCACCATCTCTGAAATCCTCCTGCTCGCC